ATAAAACAGGGTAGTGTCAGGGAAGAGTAATACATGTAAAATGGCTGGATGAATGAGGCATGGCTTTAGAGGGGAGGAAGATGTGGACAGTGGCCTGAAGTGGTGTTAAAGAGGCTGTCAGGGGCCAGATCAAGAACTTACGTGGTAAGAATCTAAACAGCAAGTTAAGAAATTTGAACTTCATGCTGAAACCCCTGGGGAACCACTAAAGGAGTTTAAATATGGCAGGAGCAGGAAACAGACACCAAAACATGCTCAAGTACAAAGTACAACATTGTGAAGAGGTGACTTTAAAAAGAGCAGGTTGGCAGATTTAAAAGAACCTAGTTGGGACCCCAGGCAAGAGACCCTGCAGGCCTGTACCTATGCCCTGCCCCAGGTGGGAGACAGGGGAGACTTGAGAACAGCTACCCTGGTAGAGTTAAAAGGACTTGGTGAACAATAGCTGTCGAGGGAAGAAGGGGTGATACCGGTGGGCTCTGGGCTCCTGGCTGGGTGTGACAGCCATGCAAGGAGATTGAAAACACAGAAGAGAGGCAAATGATGGAAGATACCATGTACAATTTGGACCAATGATGTCCTTTGGAGCAAAGCCATCTGGAGACACATTCCTGGAAAAAATGCATCTCCGGTTGTCCAAAGGGCCAGTTGGGAGGGACAAACCCATGAGAACCTAGCTCAGGATGACCCTGCTCAGGGGAAGCCTCGTGGTTGTTTTCCACAAGGAAAATAGGGCAGCTGATCAAGGAAGGCTGCCTTCCCCAGTACTGCCCTACCCAGCGGAGCTGCCCACTCCCTCCCGTGTACCCTCCACCGCCCCAGGCAGACTTCTGTTCAGTGAGAGAAGCACTTAAGGGAGTCTTTTGGGTGAGAGGGCGCAGGAAGGGAAGACAAGCGAGACAAGAAAAGGAGGAGAAAAGGAGGGACACGCTGTGCAATCTGGAAGTCAGCTGAGAAGCACTCACAGGGTCCTTTCTCCACCCTCAGTAAGGACAACTGTGTCCCTTCCCCTGGCCGCATGGCGGCTGCTGCTTTCATCCTGGGACAGCCTCCACACTTGCCCACCCTGCCCTGGATCCTCCCTAGTTTGGAAAAGATGGTTGTGGGATGAGCTGAAATTCCAGCTCCTCCAGGGGTAAGGCCAGAGACACCAGAAAAAAACAGACCCTCCGGGCTCCTCCCCAAGAAATCACACCAACCCACTCTGAGTAGAAGTAGTAGCAGATCCTGTAAGGTCTACACCCTGGCAGGGAGGCTGTGAGGCCGGGAGGGCCCTGGTCTGCAGCATCACAGATTCTCCTAAAGGAGCTGGCGCCATGACTCAACATCCAGCAGAGAACAGTGGACATGGGGGGCCAGGATGAACAGGTAACATGGACCCTGCCCAGCCCATTCATTTTCCCCATGAATGTAGAAATAACGAAAAATCTACTGTGGCTTCATCACTAAATCGTCACCTTACAGTCATCCTAAGGCCAGAGAGAGGAAGTGCTAATCCTGGAGGGAGTGGGGAAACCTGCGGCTTGTATCCATTACTGTTTCTTTCCCAAGAGGGCCTCACAAATACCCCACGTGAAGACACATGGAGAAGGGTTGGCAGTTACAGCAGCTTGCCTGAGCCCTCATTCCCAAATATTTCTAAATCTGTAGTCTTTTTATTAAAAATCTCCTTGGGAGTTTTACATTCCTTTTGTTGTCTGCATTTGGCTCAAGTTAAACTATAAATTTAGGAGTAAATACGTGGATCTTTGAAAACAAATTTGCTCCTTTAAGGTGAGATCATTTTGGTGGGGTAAGAGAGAAAACAAGAGTGACTCATTCTTTAGTGAGCAATGTAGGGAGAAAACTCAGGGCCTTAGCTTCCAGTTCAGGCCCAAGCCCCCTGGCTCAGAAGTGACAATGGGACAGGGACCAATATCCGGCAGCCTCCTCCCAATTATCCGCAACAACAGAAAAGCAAGAGATACAGAACCGCTGGAATCCTTGGAGCATCACAGGTTCCCATTTCAGCCAAGAACCCCCACCTGTTCTCTCATTCATTCTGCAAATAGACACACACATGAGGACGTGCATGTGCACCCAGGGCCACCACCAAACAGCAAACCTAGCATCACTTTCATTCCCCACTCCATGCCATCTGTGGTCTCTTTTGGTCAGAGGGCAAGGGGATAAGTCAAAATATGGACAGAAGGGAGAGGACGTAGTGGGGGACCTGGATAATTCATAAAATGGATGGTGAAAACAGATACCCTAAATAAAAGAGAGGGTGGAGGGAGCATTCCCAGGGCTCATGGCCCCAGCTTGGTGCTCTGGGCCAGAGGGGAGTTATTTTGTATTGGATGCTTAAATAGCCTACTGCCAATTATCTCATGTGTTCACCCCACTGTGGGTTGTTTGTGAGACAAGGTTAGGCATAAACTGGCTTCTCGTAGCACTGTTAGGATGCACTCACCCTCCTCCCAAGGCTGAGGCACTATAAACCCAACATCAGGCACTGTGTGATCAGAGAAAACAAAGTCATTTTAAAGACAACCTGGGCACCACTAACTTAAAAAATGACTCATCTGATGATGGAAAAATACCTTGTGCTGCTCTGCCAAAGCAATTATCTGAGGATTTCCTGGGGTTTTGGATTATCTGCCCTGCCATTCCATCTCAAAAGTGAATTCTGAACAAGCCTGGGTCAGCAAGATCTTAAGGTTCCTCCTGCTGACTGAGGGGCTGTACCAAAAACGCAGCAGGATCTGCTGGAGTCTCACACTGAGCACACATCCAGGGGGAAATGAGAGGTCAGGAGAACGATCCAGCCACGTGGTGGCATATTTTCCACCTAGATTTGATCCTTGCAGCCAGAAGTATAGTTTAAAGGCTTACAACTAACAAGGCCTAGAGAATTATCATGCTCCTCCATCACAAACAGACTTACATAAAATTTGAGTTTGTCCTAAGCAGACCACCAAACCAAAGTGGGCCAGAGGCACAGTGACTTGACAAGTGAGAGGTTCTAAACATATCTTCCATAGCATTTGAAATGGACAAGCTTATAACATCTTGTTTTGGAGGAGACATTAAGCATGATCCGCCACCAGCATACCTACACTGAGGGCTAAAGTGTGTGTGTATGTGTGCCTGTATTTTCAATTTTTACAGATCAAAGCCATGTGTTACTCTTATTTATTTCACTGACAAAAAGAATTAATCTCTGGTTCCCTTGGCTAATAGGGGATAGGATAAATACATGTGTGTGTGTGTATGTGTGCATGTGCGTGTGTGTGTATACCAAAACTCTCAGCAACAAGGAAACGCATCCGTGATGCAGGTTAAATCAAGTGGCACATTTTATTCCTGGAGAATAAACCTAAGTGGGTCTCACAGCATCACTCTGATTTCTCTCTTCTTTCATGTTTCAGAAGAACCCAATGCAGATGCCTAGGGGGCTCCTAGGGAGCAGGCTCTGTGGAATATGCCTTTCCTATTAAGCAATACCTGCATGTCACCTAAAAATGTTCCAGTGGTGCTGGAAAGAAAACATTCTGACTCAAGCAAATCCCACAGTTTATATTTTTAAGAGAAAACTTGCAAAAATAAGTGTCAGAATATCTGATTGCCTTGAAAATGTTGTTTCTGAGTTGATGCTGTTCAAAAAGCAAACGACCTTCCCAGACGGTGGCAAGACGACACTTAACCATGGGTAAGTCTACCACCAGGTAACTGCCCTGAGAAATCTTCAAGTCAGAAACCAGAAATCAGGGAATCACAAATCTGCCGGAGAAAAGGAGACTGTAGGAGGCTGAGATGCTTTACATCTGAGGTTGAGAGACTTTACATCTGCTGTAGTCTGAAATTGATTTAGAGAGCTATCAGAAGATGTAAAAAAAAAAATAGGATGCACTGGTATACATAGCATTGTGCTCTGAACTCTATAAATATAAGCATCTAAATGTGCTAGGATTTTAAATACCCTCAGAGGACACAACCCTTGAGAAGGCATCCACATGGTGCTTTTTATTCCCTCTTACAATGCCCATTTAACAATCACAGTTCTGTCACATCAAGAATAGTAGGCGCCAGTTTGACTCTCCCCTGGTCTCACTCTCATCTCTGCTGCATCTCAGGAAGCCACAAGGAGCAGAGTTCTCAGACAGAGCTGGAAAGTGGACCAGAGAGCCAGGAAGCACTACAGCATGAAAGAGCCCCTACCTAGCCTCTCAGTCATCTTGAGTGCACACTATGGAAGAAGGATGGGAAAGAGAGCTATGACATCCCCCCACCAACCACAAGCCTCTGGGAATAACATGCCATCTTTTGTACATCCTGATTAGCTGGACCTCTTGAAAAACATAGTTGTTCTAGAAATACTGAGGCTTTTCCTGTCCTGGGTCTCCAATGTTACTCAAATAATGTGTGCATGTGACAGGGCTGAGATGAGTGCTAAAACCTGTGGTCACAGAGCTGGTTAAATGACCCATATGGAAATGTTAATCAAGACCCTAGCCTCATTAATACCAGGTTTCAAATGAATTAACTGGCCACAGACTTAATCAACAACAGAGGTGGAGATGTGCTAAAATGTGCTTTAACAATCTTGGAATGCTGCAACTCAGTCAAATATAAAGAAGGTTATATATAAATAAGAGTTACGTGACCATGGACGGCCTCATTTGGATGAATGACATCTATCTGTCATGTGAAAAACCTGGGATGATTTTGATACCAGAGAGGCCCAACTACCTTCATCTGTCTAAACTTTATTAGAAAGGGTTAATCTAAAAAAGTATACAGTTGATTGATTCGAAGATTTTTGAACAAAGATTTTTTTCTGCCCTCCCCCTCCCCCAACACATTCCAGAGTAAGACAATGCTTTACCCAACACAAATTAAAGTTTAAATCCTGATCTTTGTGAAGATTGCCTTGGCAACCTCGAATCCTCTGTAACACGAGTCCCGCTACAGGCAAAAAGAAGGGCATAAATGTATTTGTACAAATCAGAATTACAAACCTTTACATGAATCATCCTCAATTGGCTGTTTGAAAGCTGTTATGTCACTAAAAGTGCAAAGAAATAAAACCACTTTATCCTGTTCGTTTCGAATTGGAGCGATTTTCACAAAGAACCACACAGGTGTCCCTGAAAGAAATATCAAAAGTTGGTCAGTAATTTACATTCTCATTTCAGGGGTTATGGAAGCAAAGACTCTGGAATGAATAGGTACAAATATTCATTCATTTTAAAATGGTTTGATTCCTTTAGGTGCTGGGATATTATACCATAATTTCTCTTCCTGCTGGAATAAAAACTTTCATAGTGACTACAGTGGAGGTTTTCTCCAGTTCAAATAATTTTGTAACTGCAGATCTCTTAACCCTTATAAAATGATTGGAAAAAGGGTTGAAAATCCCTCCTGATATTATGGAAGTAATGACAGTACAGAGACCTAAAGATCAACCTTAGACCATCTAGTAAACACGTGAAAAATCAGGGCCAGGATAGGCACTGCCAGCCATTGCCAGAAGACCATACGAACTCAAATTTCCATTGATAAAGGGCCCCAGTGTCTAAATCTAGTTTGGAAATCCATCAGTTTGGCTCACATGCTCAGTTGACCCTGGGCCAGAAATTATATTTCTAAGTTTCTCTCCCCAAAATAAAAATCCAAGAGGTCCAATACAATGGCAAATGACACCACATTGAAGGAGGAAAATAATCACCGTAATGGTTCTGCCAGCAAAGGCTCCCCCATAAAGGGAGGTTTTCAGGTAGGTTTGGACTGTGATTATGTTAGTACTTCTGGAAGCACAAATAAATGTATTTCAACCTCCAATCCTTGTTCCTGAGCTAAAATGGGAGATAATTGAACTTTTCCAAAGCACTTCCCTAATCCACAGAAGAAGGTGGACAGAGCTCACCTCTGCACCCAGGCAGTTATCTATGGCCAAATATCTGCACAAAGTCAATCTCTGGCTTCCAAAAAAATAATTAGGGAAAACAAATGTCTTATATCTATAGAAGACACACCAATCAATATTCTGTGATGTAAAATTAAGTGAGACACGAAGCAATGGTATGACCTTCCCCTTCTGGTTCTTGTATCCTAGTTCCCAAAACAGTATCTGGCACATAAGAACTTAATCACTACTTGTGGAATTTTGCATAACTGGGAGAATAGTTGACATGTTATTTTGTAACCAGTTTTAAGTTAAAATACAGTAAGTATTCTCCATGGTGTTAAGAATTAGAGAAACTTCCTACATACCAAGCAGGGTGCTCAGCATTTTACGTACGTAATTTTATTTTAGAAGATAACAAGCCAGCAGCTCACTGAATCTTGGAGATGCAAACAGGTCCCCAAGAGGTGACCTGGGTGTCTCTGTCTGCTATCACATCAAACTCTACTGTACAACATGGACAGACAGACACATTTGATTAACTTTAGGATTAGCCAATCTGATTTAGGAACAACTAGCTTACATGTCAGGCTATGCCACTTATTCATATATAAGTATGAATAACCCCAAAATATAAAAATAGGCAGGAAATAGATCAGATGGGGATATAGTCTCCTTAAATCTTGATTATCTATATATTCATCCATAGTTAATTTTAATCCTCTGGCCATTTTCCCTTTCCATAATTTTCAGCTGCCAGTTCCTGACTGCTCTTAGAAGACAAATAGAGCATAATGTCACCCTAAGAAAAATGTGTTTTGAAAGAAAAATCTACCTTATTGAAAGAAATCACACAGAGCTTTACAAAATCAAGAAGAATATGGCTTTTGGATTATCCACTGTTTTTTGGAAGGTCTGTTACTGTTTCTCCCAGATGCCTGCTCAGAACCTGTAGGACTGTAAACCATTTGCAATTAAGTAACAGAAAACTCAGAAGAAAGCATCACACCAACTGAGCTTCCACACCCACGGTCATTGTATCTAGCTGCAAAAGCAAAACAAATCAAAAAACCATTCTCCTTTTGCTCTAAGGAAAACTTTAAGCAATTTTTTTCAGATGAAAAACCAGAAAACACTTCTAATCCATCAAACTAGTAATACATCTGATGGGAGGGCCTCCTCGCAGCCCGCCACTCATGATGTCTAACACCAGGAGGCTGTTCTTGCTGGAATCCCCAGAACCAGCTCTTTCACAGATGCTGCCTCTGGGCTATCCACTGGCCAGATCAGCTGCCCGATGCCTGTGAACTGTTCCAGTTGGACTGTGCCATCTGTTTATACTCCATTTACGACTACTGGGATTGACGACATTAACCCACAGCGCCCAGATCATGAGTCATTATGTTAGTCATATTGAGAGGCCTCAATATTCAAGCTCATCAGAAGCTAGCCCCATTTCAATAAGTCAATCTCTTCAAATCTGTGTGCTTCTTTCCCCCAAAGAGTGCCCACTGCTTCTTTACAGACATGTTCCCTGATTAAACACATGCTACTCTGACCATTCCCTTTCAGTACCTCCATATGTATCTTGTACCAAAAATTCATATAGTCTGTATGCATTATTCTAGAGTTCATCTCCAGCTGGTCATTTAGGCCAGTTGAGGGAGGCAACCTCTGTTTCCCTGATCTGGTATTCTTTGTGGAGGGACATCTTACAGTGTAACACTGTGGGCCTTTTCCCTGGGTTGGTAATTTGGGGGACAAAAATTGGACAAGTGGCTCAGCCACTTCTTAGAGATTAGCCTGCATCCTGCTCTGCTTTCCCTGTTCTACCAACGTTAGGGGAGAAGTCAAAGGGCAGGGGGGATGTCTGGTAGGATGGGTGGGTAGGTCTGTCTGATTCTAGGATTCAGTATGAGAAATTCACTTGCCCACAGATACAACCCACATTCCCAGGATCACCTTCGCTAGTCATAAAAGTAATATTTAACCTCCATTTGCCTGGTTCCTCTCTCTCTCTCAGCTAGTTCTGATCACAGCCAGGGAAGGAAAGTGTCATGTTACAACTGAGGACTCCTTCTTCAACCCTCTAACCCTTAATAATTCACTTCGAGGGCAAGAGGTCTGACCTACTGTCTCTGTCTTATCACCCTGCAGCCCTGTCCAGCGACACCCAGTGTAGGATACGCAGAGGGTAGCATCACATCACGACAGTGCTAACTCCAGAAGGCACCATCCTGCACTTATGAAACTCAGCAGCCTGGGCAGGGTAGCGGGCTCGCAATGCTGCCGAGTTTCAGTACCTACTCGTAGTACCTACACAGTACCCAGACCTGCCTCTTTCCCAAATGATTACTAGCCAAATAATCCACAAGAACAAGTAGACTGGGCTCAAATTTTCAGTTCTGAAACTCTTCCAAAAGAGAACATGAGAACATGAGCTCCTCTGAGGTGGCAGACCAGTAACTTCAATCTTTTCCTCTTAAAAGCAAAGCATTTTTAACGAATGAAATGTTATTCAGATTCTCAGTATATGAAAGAGTTGCTTCAAGTGAACATGAACCAAACAGAGCCCGGAGCCCCTCTCACCCTTTTGGGTGCCCCCAAGAATATTCAGAAACCCTTTGGTGCCATTCAGATATAGATCTGCCCAGGGGCAGAGGCCAGGGTGGTCAGCCTCCAGAGCTCTCCGCTACAGCCCACATTCTACAAGGAGGTTTAAATTCCACTTCCTCACCCAAGTGGTTAAAGTGGAAAAACTAAGAAAAGCAAGTATTTGATGTTCCACTTCAGCAAAAAATGATCAATGATAACTTTTCCATTAAAGGAAAATCAACACACAGATACAAGAGAAATACAGCATCTGATGATCCTACCAATGGCCAAGGCTGCTGCTAGAAGGACAGGACGCCCAGTGGAGGTGCAGTTCCAGGCCAAGCTCCTCCTCCTGGTTACCCTGTGAGCCTCATCCCTTCGGTAGCTCCATTGGGTCATGTAGTCATGACCCTGAGAACCTCACCTGACTATGGGGTTTCTCAGCCCTGGGAGTCAGATAACAATTAACAGCAAGGCTGGAGTGTCCGAGAGAATTTTTGGCCTCCATCAGTCTTCCTCCTACCCTGGGCCTCCTCCTAGGTACTCTCTGCAACCAGGCAGCGGGGCAGCCAGGCCACATTCAACAACAGAATCAACCGAGCCACTGTGACTGGCCCCTGGGAAGGGCTATATAGGCTCGGCCACTCAGATGCATCCCGAAGTTAAACATGGGAATGGCAGCCTGCCCAGGAAGCATAACAGCTGGTCTATGGTCAACTTTATTGAGACAAATGACACATGCAGACAGGATGAGAGAGCACCCAGGGAAGCAGTGGCCACTGGCCACTGGAACATCTGGTCTGGAATCCTAAACCCTGGGCTTGAGCCTTGTTTCTTCATTTATTGTGTGCCTTCGCCATGTCCCCCCAGCTTCTCTCAAAATCAGTTTTGTTATTGATAAAATGGGGATAACAGATCTACTTTAGATGAAGTAAAAATAAACACAAGTCTAATACACAGGAATTTGAAACTATTACCTTCCTCTCTTCTGCCTTTCAAATTCCTCACCTGTTAAGAATGAAATATTCAATCTCACCTCACAAGGGAGTTTGGATGACTTAAAGACAATGTATCTCAAGGTGTTTAATCAAACTGACATTGCCGCCACCTGTTCTGAGGGAAGAGCGCCAGTCTCTACCGTAACAAGAGGAAAGCTAGAAAAATCAACCCTTAAGCCTCAACTTAATTAGCATTTGAAGAGCAAAAACACAAAACCTAAATAAATGGAGAGAGTTACATTATTTTCAGGTAAGAAGATTCAATTTTATAACATGTCAAACTTCCCTGTTTAATACATATATTTAATGCAATTTCAGTTCGAGTCTCAATTGTTCCTTTGTTTTTTTCTCAGAGCTCGATGAATGGAAATTCAATTCAAGTAGAAAAAGGTAAAAGGATGACCAATAAGGTTTTTGAAAGTTTTGAGAAGAAAAATAATGACAGAGACTACCTAAACAATCATAATTAAAAACTATCGGCACTGGCCCTAAAACCAGAAGCAGTGGAAATAAGAATACTATTTCCTAAGTGCCTCCAACGGGGGGCCCAGCCCCAGCAACTCTGTGGGCTGGAATTTCTACGATCACATTATCCCCTTTTGAGGGACAATACGGGTAACCCAGATGGACGATCATTTTAACCAAATTC